GTTTAAGATGTTTATTTTTTTGTGGGTGTTTGGCATGGCTTGTTTTAGGTAAAATTAATTTCAGAGGACGACATCCGTGATTGTTCTCAATGCTACTGATGTTTAGGTTGGTGGTGGTGGTGGTGGTGGTGGTGTCTTTGCTGTAAACGATGATTGGGAAAAAGAGGGGGGGGGGTATTTTCTTACTTTTAAAGGTGTTAACAATGAGTGTTTAGTTTGGTTTGCTTCAGGTGATTTTAATTACCGGGGAAAACATAATATGTGATTGCTGTTGTTGTTGTAGTTGTTGTTGTTGTTGTTATTGTTGTTGTTGTTGTTGTTGTTGTTGTTGTTGTTGTTTTTGTTGTTGTTGTTGTTGTTGTCGACTTTGTGCTCTCTTTGCAGTTTCTTTTAGTTCATGCCTTTGTTTGACTTTGCTCTCTTGTTTTGGTAAGGGTCTATTCAATTTTTGAGAGGATAAGAGGGGGTTGGAGGGGGGGGGGCATTTTTATATTGTGTGTGATTTATGCTTACCTGCGAGAGACGAGAAAAAAGAGTGTTAGGTAGAGAGAGGGTACGTATTGCCGTCTGCAATTGTGCCTTTTCTAGCATTACCATTTTCAATAGCATGACAGAGAGCAGCTGTTATTTTTTGTCAACACACTTCTTATAACGGAGGAAAAGGGGAAAAAAGCCATGCTAGGGGAGGGAAGGGGATGGGGTTGATATTAGTTGCAGATTTGTTTGTAGTATTCTAACTCTTCTCAGTCCTCACACAAAGCATTGGTTTTGTGCATTTTCGTTGGCCTGAAAGTCATGACTGTAATTGAAGGGGTTGGAAAAGTAAGAGTCTAAGACACACTAAAAATTTGCTAGATTTAATGATTGCGTTCTTATTGTGTAATACCACGCACGCAAAGGGAAACTACACTACATATTATTATTATGGCTTGAATGACAAGACTGGGTGGTTTTAAAGTAAAGTTATGGCATATACAAATTACCTAATCCTCGTAGTGTATCATGCTTCAGTCCAGCTGTTATTTTATTTTATTTTTAGACAGGAGGGGATTATTTTATTTTTTTTTATTTTTTTTGGGGGGTGCGAAGTGGGGTTGTTGTTGGTTTTGAGTTTTTATATGTGTCTTTTTACAATTTTATCAAAACAAACTGAAGGTGACTCAAACTATTTATTTTAAACTGACGCCTTCAATGAAATATTATTATTGTTCGATGAATACGATCCACAGATTAGCAGAGGTCAAGATCCACATTGGAAAAGTCAACAACCGGGGGTCAGAACACCTCATTGATGGAAAAGCCTTTGGTGCGGAGGTATGACATGTGGGTGATTGGCGGGTGCTCTGGTGTAGTTTGCTCCTTCTTTCTTATCAAATATATATCGTCTCTATCTCCCCTCCTTCTTTTTTGTGTTTGTTACTGTCTTGTAGCACCTCTAATCTTCGGCACTTATATTATGACCTCAGTGTGTTGCAAGTGCCGTAAAACTGCTACTAAAACTAAACGTTCCTATCAAATATCTATCGTCCTAATCTCTGCTCCTTCCTTTCTTTGTATGGTATTCTCGTAATCTTTCACACTTATGTGACTGGTCCATTTGTGTTGCAAATACCATAAAACTCTAATGAAAACTAAAATGAGTTATGAAAGGAGTTACGACTAAAGTAAACTTGAGTACTCTATTTTGGAAATTAATTGACATAATATGCACATCTGAAGTAAAACACACGCACGCGCACACACACACACACACACACACACACA